TGTCAATGTTAATGAAGCGCCAACACCACCTCCACCACTACATCCTCAATTTGACGCCGCCTTATCTCAAGCGGTGGTCATAGCAGTTGTCGCAACTGCTATATCACATATAAACACCACTGGCTCAAGTGGATCAATGAGTAGCGCACACCCCTCCAATGAGGGTGAAAGTCATGGGAACCATCAGGAGTGTACCTACAAGGACTTTGCAAACGCCAAACCTAGGACTTTTAACGGGACTAGGGGAGTTATGGCTTTAAGACAAAGGATTGAGAAAATAGAGGTTGTCTTCGAGATTTGCTCCTACCCCGAAGGTAGAAAGGTTAAATTCGCTTCATGTACCTTTGCTGATAGAGACCTAACATAGTTGAACGGCCATGTTAAGTCACTGACTCTAGTAGTGGCTAACTCGATAAGTTGGGAGAACCTGAAGTCAAAGCTGATGCGGGAGTACTGCTTGCAGGGTGAAATACAGAAGCTCGAGCAAGAGCTTTGGGGTCTTACTAAGGTTGGTTCAGACATAACAACCTACACTAATAGGTTCAACGACTTAGTGATCCTATGTCCGGAAATGGTTGCTTTGGAGAGCAGAAAGATTGAAAGGTACATCTGGGGGCTTTCACCTCACATTCAAGGAAGCGTTATTGCTTCCAGGACTATAACCTTTGATAGTGCCAAAGAGCTGGCACGGTCACTTATTGACCATGGAGCCCGTCAAAACTTCGTGGTTGCTACTCCAGAACAACCCAAGGGAAACAACAATAACAATAACAATAAAAACAACAACAACAACAAGAAAACCTGGAATAAAAGGAAGGGAAAATCTTCTTAGGAACCCTCGAAAAAGCAACAGTTAGTGGTAGTCCATGGTGCTGCTATACCTACTGCTCTTCCTGCTAACCCACTAGGATGAAGTGGGTGATACACAACTAGCTAGAGGTCATGTTCCAGACAGTACTCTTACTAGTCCGGAAATGATTCATGAAACCACAGAGAAAATCGTACAAATTCGGGAGAGACTTAAAGCTTCCAAAGATAGATAGAAACGCTACAGTGACAAAAGGAGAAAACCCTTGAAATTCCAGGTTGGTGACCGCGTCTTGTTGAAGGTATCACCCTGGAAGGGCATGATACGCTTTGGAAAGCGTGGCAAACTGAACCTAAGGTACATAGGACTATTTGAGATTCTTGCTAGAATCAGTCGAGTAGCTTACAAACTCCGACTACCTCAAGAACTAAGTAACATACATCCTACCTTCCACGTATCTAACTTGAAAAAGTGCTGATTCGATGAGAATCTTGTGATCCCACTCGAGGAGATCGAGTTAAACGAGAGCCTCAACTTTGTGGAAGAAATCTAAGAGATCCTAGACAAGGTAGTCAAGAGAACCAAACAAATCCGTATCCCGATAGTGAAGGTTCACTGGAATGCAAAGCAGGGAGCTGAATTCACTTAGGAACAACAGGATCAAATGCAACAGAAGTATCCACATCTTTTTCCATAGTCTTTCTGTAACGATATGGTCCTAATTCCGGGATGAAGTTCTCTTTAAAGGGGGGATAATGTAACATTTCGTTATTTTCTACTGGTAAAGTCAACCTTGGTCAACCAAAGTCAAACTTGGGTCAACTAAGGTCCCCTTTATTGTTTGCATTTTTATTAAGTTTAGAATAATAACCTTTGCATGTTAAATCCCATAGAATATTTGTGGTAGAAATTAGAAGGAATGTACTTGAAAACCGAGAAACTTCGCATCCTTTCTTCTTTCTTTTTCTTCGGACCGCAAACCAGGCTCACATAACCACAAACCTCGCATGACTGTGAACTGTTTACTGCCTTCGGCTGTGAATCGAGGTTGTGAACCGAGGCCATGAACCTTTCGACCATGATCTCTTCCCTATATATATAAAAGATACCAATTTATTCCCCATTCTACACTTCTGGCCGTGAACATCAAGAATAATCTCTCAAGTATCATCCTTCAATATTTGATTTTCTTGGAATATTGCTTGAATTTTCAAGGTATTTCATCATTTCATCTTCATTCTAGTGATTTCTAGCCCTCATACGCTTGTTTCACCTTCAAATCTTCAAGATCTTCAATATCATTGGGCCGTGAACTCAAGAACATCAAGTGTTCTTAGACCGTGAACACACCCTCCTGGCCGTGAACTCATTGTAGACTCCGTTTTTTCTTCTAACACTCCTATTTGTAAGTTATACTTACAATTTAGTCAAATTTCCAATCATTCCTATGATTATATTCGATAATTGGTTGCATATATACTATACACATTGCTATATATCACTTGTTTTACTATGATATTTCACTTGTGGAAATAAACATCCTATATCGAATCATCAATCGAATCACCCTATAAAAGGTGAGTTCATACAACCGTATTTTCATGATTATTATAGTTTTAAGGGGGGTAGGGGGAATACAAGTCTAACACAAAGAGTTTGTGTTAACAACAAATGGTTTCAAAATATCTCACAAAATGGATTTCAATTATCTTCAAATCGAATTGTTTAATTTTGTGTTAAAATGACATCAAGTCACTAAAAGTACTTTAAAATGTTAAACTCTTTAAAATATATTATTAACTTATATTTTCCCCAAAATCATATTGATCTATATATATATATATATATATATATATATATATATATATGTGTGTGTGTGTGTGTGTATGTATGTATATTTATATAAATAAGATTTAAAGGACATAGGAATGATGACTCACTTTATTTCGTGATCCTTGTTTCAATGTGGACTTAGGGTATCGGTTATTTGTCTGAATGTCGTTTAAATTTTAGTTATATATATATATATATATATATATATATATATATATATATATATATATATATATATATATATTTGTATATGTATATAAATATAAAGGTTATTTCATTTAGTTTCAATACCCTTTGTAACATGTTGAGCAAGGGGTTGCATTCATGACCAGTTAGTATCTATACAAAAAACACATATAAATTATAATAGGTATAATCTATGATTCAAGAACACCAACTCACGAGTCATGTATACTAGAGTACAACATTTTACAAGAACAAGGATTTGAACTATTTTACAAGAACATGGGTTTGCACTATTTTACAAGAACAAGGGTTTGATTCAAAAATAAACAAGGGTATACAAATTACAAATACATTTCATGTATACTAAACAAGGACCATACTATCAATCATTTTATTTTAGAATGATTGGGTTTTCATTACTATTATAGACGTAACATCTATATGCTTTTTCTGAGTCAATAAATTCAGGTTGTTTATTAATTTAAACAACATAGTTAAAGTCCTGATATTATAACCAAAATCTCTAGTCGGGGATCGAAACAAATGTCTATAGATCTATATTAGGATTGACAACCCCACACTCTGACTGATAGCTATAGACGGGCATACACGCCTTCGAGTGACAGATGTTATCAACAGTTTAGACGCCTTAAAAGTGTTGTTTCAGGCCATCTAGTCATAGTATGGTTATAATAACTCATTAAAAATATATTAACAATACGGTTAGTGTATTATTAACTAAACATGAGTACATTTTCAAAGTACTAGTTTACAAAGATACAATTTACAGTATTACATTACAATTTATAATAACAGCTGGTGGAGCTAGGCATACTCATTTTTACAGGTTTTACTAAGGAATACAAATACAGAACACTGGTTTACAAATAGAGTGGCTGTATGAGATTAAAATACTTTTCATATACATCAAAATATATAGGATTTCTGGAACAGTTTACATATTTAAAGAACAGACAACATACTTTCAAACAAAAATACTTATGCACTCACTCAACTTTATGTTGATAATCTCTTTTAAAATTACTTGTATTCTCAGCGAATCAGTGGACATGTATTCCCCAATCTTTTGAGAAGACGGAGGTATTTTGAGTTATGTCTACTGTCTTTTGCTATAACTAATTTGGTGTCAATATACAATGATTGAACACATGTAAAAATTTATACTTATTAATGAAATGGTTGTTTGTACTTTGATTACTATAATGCATGTGTTGTGATACTACAAATGAAGTCATCCACCCCCGGACGTTTCCGCCGTCTAGTTTGGGGGTGTGAAATCTTCTGTTGTAGGTTTCACATGAAAACCTTTTCCATTATCTTTTGGGTAATGTGTAGTAGCAGGTTTGGCTATTGAAGAACCTGCGCGTCCTTCACTTATGTTCAGTCCTTTCTTCGATTGTAGTTTTGACATATCAATTTCAATATTCGGAATAATAGTTGTTGTCAAAGTTGTCATAATGGATTTCATTGGAAGTGAAGTTGTAATTTGAGTAAAAATTACCTTTCCATCTACTTTTACTTTCTCTTTTCCACTATCATTCGATGAAACACCCCCTTATATCTCCCTTATGACACGTTTATAGATGGGCTTGGAGCATTGGTGAGTAATCGAAGAACAAGATCCAAGATTAGTGATATTTGAGATTTAAATATGATCCCATTGAAGAAACCACATAAAATGTTTGTTCTTGAGATAGCGAAGTTGTTGATGGAAAATTAAACTTCAATAAAGAATCATGAAAAACATGTAAGAGAGTTATCAATGTTTGTATATACTTTGCCATCAGATTCTTTATTTGAAATTAACCCTTCAACATCATCTTAGTTGAAAGCATCAATGTCTTTAACCAAAGCTTGTCTAGTACCCATAAGAACATCAAGATTATCCTTAAGTCCCACATAAAACATATCAAGCTTTATCCCTTACATTGAAAACAAATCAATCAATTCCTAAACTTTGGAAATAATCAAATCTTTTGAGGAAGTTACCATCTGTTCAAATAATGTATGCTTTTCATGGGCAACATCATGTAATTGCATGACTTCATGTTTATAAGAACTAGATTGAGTAGTGAGATGTTCTTCTAAACTTTGTAACAACATTTTTTTTATCAAAATCTCTATCCTTGACTATTAAGACTTCAATAAGAACTCAATCATCACCAGTTACATAAGACTTCCCAATATTATCATCTAAAAAATGGTGAATAGTGTTGAGTATGGAGTTTAAAATTTTATATTGCTTGCCTGACATAATGACATTGTCATCAATATTATCTTCTTCAGGACCGAATGCAAGATCATCAAATTCAATCACTTCATCTTCTATAGTATCGGTGGATCTTGATCTATCAATTGAGAAGAGAATAAAAAATGATAGGTTCATATAGGATAACTGCAAATGTAGGAAAAACAACAGGAACTAATGTTAGTGTAATAATCGATGTTGGTGGTGGAGATGAATGTGGTGGTGGTTGACCAATTGAAGTATCTGGAATAAATGGCAAAATAATCTCACCCATAGAAACATTGAGTCCTTGTTAGATAAGTTCACAGTGACGTTTAATGTTTTGGCCTGCTCCATATTGGACATGGAAATAGAACCATCGACTGGAGTGACATAAGATGTTTCTGGAAGCGTAGTTAAGATTGGCTCACCAGAATTGATGTTTATATAAACATTAGATGTGTTTACAGTGACATCAAGATTGCTTGTCTCCTTGGTATTTGATACAATAGTAGCATCCTATCTTGGTGAAACATGAAATTTGATATCGTCGTGAGTCTCTCCGCTGTCATGATCTTCTTCAAAAACATTTGGTATTGGTGTAGTTCTATTAGAAGGAAGTTCGACTGTCTAAGCCCTAAACTTCTTAAATTGTTTCAAAAACCCAACAACTTTAAGTTTTCTAGTTTGTTGATCTTCCTCAGTCGAAACTTCCTTAATCACAACACCACATGACCTAGACTATGACTTTAATTTGTATTATTTATTGACAACAAACTCAAGAGTATCTTTAACAACTTTTTCTAATACCTTCTCATAAACATTTTGAACTTCCTTCTTAGAGACATCATTGACTACATTCTTAGAACCACCTTTTATATCCTTCTCAGAATCACTCTTTTTTGAAACATATTTATCACAAACTACCTTTGTCTTCATTGTGGTCTTCTTTTTCACAAAATGAGAATCTTTAGATGATCCATTTGTAACCTTAAATGTCACCTTCTCTGGAATAGGACCAGAAGAAGTAAAATCCATTGAGGCTTTTTTATTGAATCAATAACGGATTCGAATCAGAAACTAATTAGAACATTGCATTTAGACTCCTTCCAAGAACATAAAATATAACAAGATCATCAAGTGCAGTCTTAGGAGTATTTAGATATCAGAATTAAGCAACCTCATCATCTTCAGGAACTAGAACTGGTACTTGACTAAATGCGTCAAACAAAATAAGACTCCAAAAAAATCACTGGATATACCAGTAGCCTTATTTGAATGCTTGACAGAAGTGGTAAATTTATCTACAACATTGTAGCATAATCAATCTTCATCTCATAATATAGACCAACCATAATAGAATGGAAGTGAAGTTTTGCCTTTTCTAAACAACAACTCCTTCCAGTTGAACATCGAAGGATAACTCCAAAGAAAAGACTTTATACGCTTAGAAGATTTGGCTTCTTAAAGTTACTAGTAAGAGAAATCGGAGGTTGATAACACATTTCATTAAACATTTGAAGTACCTGGTTAAACGAATGAGTGTCAAATGATCCCTTAGATGGTAATTGCAAGAGTTCGGCCATTTTATTGTATAATTTTGTAGAACCAAAAGATATTACTAGTTCATTGGATTAGCAAAAGAAGCTATGAAATCATGTATGAGATAAAATCTTTCAAACACTAAACCACCATCTTCAATTCCTCAAGTTATGCTTCAATGGATGGATTAAAGCAGGTGATATTGGATTGAGTCTTCATATTAGGCACATAAATTTTTTCTCCGGTTGTGTTAAAGGGATTGACAACGGTATTGGTAGTAGATATGATGATCGATAAACAAATTTTAAAGATGATCAGAAATTAGGGTTAGGGTTGTTGTGTAAATACAGGGAATTAGAAAGATTGAAATGAACCGCCAATGTTCTATTAGAACTGACATTAAATTCAAATTTTAACCAAGACCCAATGGAAAACTGACATGCATAAAGTAGGTAACTAAAGAGACATCGTCCTAATACGCCATATAAAAGCGTTATGAGCACTTTTATCGATCCAAGATAAAGCAATGGGGATGTCACTGCACAATGGTTACATGATCATCTCTTAATAAATAGAGCAGCCACCATGCTTCGATAGATAAGGTTAGGCCTCATTCACATATAGGAATCATAAATGAAATCCTTAGCCAGAATTTTGAGAAATCTTTGTATAGGTGTGTAATACCAAAAACCTCAAGGATTTCAGTGCCAATGTGTTCCAAATAAAAAGATAAAAGATTGTTTTTTTTTTTTTTGATAAAATGTGTTATCAAAGAAGCTTTGATGTAAAGGCAGTAAGATCTCGGGAAAAGATATTCTTCCATTGATATCAAGACAGAAACCAAAGTGCTAGTATGGATCTTGTGAATTAGAATCAGATACTTGTAATGAAGTATCAAAGGGCTTCTCTTAACAAGTATCGAAGGTAAGCTTATTTTAAATCAACTTCACAACTTAACAAATGTTACACCTGTGTTTCTAGGTTAGGCACTAATGATGATTTACTAGTCTAGGTCAACCTTTTTAATTTGTTTTGAAATAATAAACACGTATTGTTTGATTATTATGTGTTTATTGCTTAATTATTATGATTTAATAAGTTAAGAATAAAAGTAAGCGTCGAAAATAAACGTTATATAAACATGATATCTATTAAGAAATTTGTAGTGTTTGAAACAAGGATTCTGGAGATATAAAGAATACCGAAATCCGAGTTATAACGAAGAGGTTATAAACTGTCGAACTTTCGTGACAGAACCTTCACCACGTTGTATGACGTACAAAGTGAATTTACGATAAAGTGCTTTTTTGCCTTAGCGATGTAAATGAAAGTCGTAGTGCTCATTAAACCGAGAGCGTACATAAAAAGAATGTCCAAATCTTACTTTGTATGAGGAAGTTATGAATTTTCTAAGATTTGGTATGGCATTATGCAGCCCGAAACTCTAATTTTAGGTTGAGTGATTTTTAGCCGAAACAGCCTAAACAAGAATCGAAGATCTTGTTGATAGTAGTTGAACGGTAAAAGACAGACAAAAACGGACGTCGGATAAAGAAGTTATGAATTTTTAACGAACTTTTCCTGTCCCGGCCTGTTAAAAATATAACTTTAAAAATAAATTAAAAATTAACGGATGGAGTCCAAATAAAAGTTGTAGAGCACGTTCATACCTACGCGTGGATTTAAAGAACGTCAAAAACGGAGCTCGTATGTGAAAGAAGCATTATTTTGAAGTTTAGGGCACAAACTTCAAGGCTGGTCTGAGGGAGTATGCCCAACGTATAGAAGGAGTACGCCCAGATTACACATGTAAGGGTTCCAAAGTCTGTCACCCTCCCTACTCCTTCGCATGTGAGCCATGTATTGTCGCCTTGACGCGTTTGAGCTGATCCAATTCGTACGCCCAACGTACGAAGTTACGCCCAACGAAGACTTGTGCAAGGTAGTATGCCCCGCGTACCTGAGCTCTACGCACCACATACTAAGGTGCTTTGGTCTCCTATAAATAGGAACCGAAGCCAGTTGAATATTGTTTACAAAATTCACTCCTTTCACCCTTCTAGTTTCTTTTTACCTACTCTAAATACCCCTAAACCTAATATATCATCCTAAGCATCATAAGCAAGCCCCGGAGATCCCAAAGACTCTGTGAAAAATAGTTTTCGAGACGAAACGCTACCCACGTTATGCCCAACTTTTAGAAAACATCCCGGTTTTATCAAAAACAATTGTCTTAAGAAATGAGGTGTTGCCCGATGATAGTTATATCATGTGAGTGTGTAGTCGCTTTCATCTTACACATATATATGAAGTATTTTCTATAAAATACGTGTTATGTGTATATTTATTGTTTGTTTATTTGATATGGGTGTTGAATGAATGTTTATACAGGTTTTAAAATGATTTAAACTGTATATGTATCTTTTTATCTACAAATATGTTGGGGACAACATGGGTAGATGAAATAGTTGATGTGTGTTAAATGATGAGAGACCTCAATATTATTGTTGTTTCAATCATCTAACGGAGTATATATGACGACCCACTCAACTTTCTATATTATAGGTAGTGGACCCAAAGCATAGTTGGATGATGATGAGAGAGTTTTGGATTCTAGCTCAGTAGTTGTATATAAATGTTGTAAGGATTATAATGTACTGTTTATACTTTTGGTCTGTATCTAAACATGACATCCCGATGTTTTTGTTAGATAATGAAAATATACTTCTTTAAGAAAGGATTTGATAAATTTTTTTATTATATTTTGTTTTGGCAGATTACTCTAATTTTATTTTAAAAACATAAAGTAAATCGGTCTTTTCTGGCCACAAAACTTTGGGATATCACAGTTGGTATCAGAGCATTAGTTTAAGCGAACTAGGAATTTGTAGGATTTCTAGACTTAAACTTAGAATGCTAAGTGATGATTGTGAGATGAGTGTCTACCATATTTTGGACACGAGCACTAATATATTTTAGGAAATATGCCTAAAATGCTTTTATGTGCTAAATGCTAAATTTTTGTCATATATACCATTAATTGTTTGGATCTATGGTCTGTTGCCGACCGGATCTAGAAACCTGATGTGTTCAGGATTCTAAGCGTATAACTACAATATAAAACTAGCATGTAAAATTTCGGAGTGATAAGGAGAATTTAATATCTATCATGAATGAAGATCTAAATTTGCCTTATTTGATGTATAGATCATAATGGAGAAAACCTGAAGTAGAGCTAGAAATGAAAATAGAAATCAGCAACCTCAACCACAAGTGATGGAGCAGGTGTCTATAGCAGAGGCTGCACTTGAACCAATCACAAGGGCTGGAGTACAAAGGATGATCCAGATGATGTTGGATCACCAAATGCAGGAAACAAGGCGCTTAGTTCAACAAAACCAAGAGGAACTTTCGGTGCCTGTTGAACAGCCCGAGTTGAATGATGGACAATCAAAAAGAAGAAACTACAGTTGGGCTATTGGTCAAGACAACCCACTGATAGTTAAAGGAAACCATCAGAATGAAGGAAGTGATGGATGTGGGTGCAAGTACAAGGATTTTATGGCATCCACACCACTGTGCCTATGTGGAAGCCCGACACCGGTGGAAGTCTTGAATTGGATCTTCAAAATAGAGACATGTTTGAAAGTTACTAGCTGATTCCTCTATTAAAATATGGAGTACTGAACTGGTGGAAGCTACTAGCTGATTCAATACCTAAGGGAGAAGCTCGTAAGATGTCTTGGGAGGATTTTCTAGTACAGCTGAAGATGCAATCTGCTCTGAGCAGGATCTACTGGAAATTAACACTGAGTTCACAATCTGAAGAAGGGAGGAATGATCGTTATTCAATACGCTGTAAGTGTATGGACAAAAATGAAACTTGTTCCATACCTAGTTCCAACCAAACTCTCCATGGTTAACAAGTTTTCCCATGGATTACCAGTGGAATTTATTCCAATGGTCAAGCAAACAACTACTCTAAAAGTTGCCATCTGGGCTGCCAAGAATGTGGAGACCTAGATACAAGAGATGGGTTTGGAGAGAGTGGAGGTTGGTAAGAAAAGGAAATTTGATGGGTCGTCAAATTCCATCAAAAAGAGCAAGTTCTCAAAATTTGGTACAAAGAATTCCGTAGGACGTGAAGCCAAATGGTCCAACAAATGCAAGAAGAAGCACCATGGAAAATGTGATGGAGAAGTCACTTGTTTTAAATGTGGAAAGCCAGGGCACTACGCCAACAACTACACAACCAATAAAAGGGTGTGCTATGGATGCCACCAAGAAGGGAATATTTTGAAGGATTGCCCGAAGAAGTAGGATGTAGTAAAGCCTAATGTCGCACCGAAGCCAAAAGCCATAGCTTTCCAAACGACTTTGGAAGCCGAAAATGATACAACATATGTCGCATCAGGTACCTTTTTAGTAAATTGGTTGCCTACTAATTTATTGTTAGATTCCATAGCGTATTACTTCTTTATATCACATAAATTTGG